GACACCCAAGAAGATAGGCTGAAGATCCAGATGGATCTTGACAGACTAGAACACTGGGCCATATCTAATAAAATGAAATTCAGTGTAGAGAAAAGGAAAGTCCTACACTTAGGCAAGAAAAACCAAAAGGACACATATAGACTGGGTGAAACCAGGCTCAATAGCAGTCACTGTGAGGGGGATCTGGGAGTCAGTGTACATCCAACTAAACATGAGCCAGCCGTGTGCAGCAGCAGCCAAAAAAGCTAATGCAATCCTAACTTGTATTAACAGAAGGATACAATCCAGATCAAGTGAGGTACTAATACCACTCTATAAAGACTTATTAAGACCACACCTAGAGTATTGCATCCAGTTTTGGTCACCACATTATAAAAAAGAGGTTGAGACTCTAGAGAAAGTGCAGAGAAGAGCAACCAGGAGGATGAGGGGACTGGAAACTAAAACATACGATGAATGATTGCAGGAACTGGGCTTGGCTAGTCTAGTGAAGAGAAGGACCAGGGGAGACATGATAGCAGTCTTCCAATATTTGAGGGGCTGCCCCAGAGAGGAGGAGGGGGTCAAGCTATTTTCTAAAGCGCCTGTAGGCCCGACAAGGAATAGTGGATGGAAACTGAACAAGGAGAGATTCAACCTGGAAATAAGGAGAAACTTTCTGATAGGGAGAACCATCAACCCATGGAACAGAAGTTGCCCTCGGAAGTTGTGGGAGCTCCATCACTTGAGACCTTCAAGAAGAGATTGGACTGCCATCTGTCAGAAATGGTGTAGGGTCTCCCGCTTGGGGGGGGGTTGGACTAGATGACCTACAAGGTCCCTTCCAACTCTGATCATCTGTATCTGTAGGTGCTGAATGCAGCTATCTTGAAGGAACGACGCCTCCAAGCCCCACGTTGGTGTGCCAAAATGTAAAGTTCGGCTATAACTTAAGATTATGTGCCAAAAATGTGCCAAAAATGAACTTAAGCAGGGGTTTTGAAGAACAAAATCTAACTTTAATTGATCAATAAGGTTAGGGTAAGATCTTTCCTCGCATACACACAAGCTAGAGATGTGAGGAAGGTTACAAAGCACATAGCCAAAAGTCAGTCCTCTTAAATACCTTTAAGGTAAGAATCTTACTTCTAAAGAAAGTAGAGTAACTGCATTGTAAAACACTTAGATTTACAGATTTCTTGCAAAAAGACAAATCTCCACTTGTTTATCTTTCAGTATCCTTTCTCCTATTGTCTGTTAATCGACCACAACTGACCATTTAAGAGGGCTACTAACAGCATCCTTCAAAAGGTGTGTATTGCTCCAGATGTAGGGAGTTACGCTCCCAGGGAGTAGGTTCCACTTGGATTGATTTTGATGGGACGATCATGCGTCTCAATAGGAGTGGGACTGATTGCAGGCATGTGTTATGACTTGTTTTACAACAGGTGAAAGAAATATTTCCCACAACAGCAAGATAAGAAATGCCTATAGAGCGCTAAATACTTCTACGTATATAAAACAACTGCCTAACGTCAAGAGGAGACGTGCCTATAGAATAACTCTCTACTTGATGCTATAGTATATTTTACTACATTTCTTTCTTTCTTATCCTTCAGAGAAAAGCCCCCCTCATCATCCGTCATTCTCCGGAGTGTCCCGCCTGAGATTTGTTACTTGGCGCCAAGACAACCACAGGAAGCGTAGACAATCCCACCCGTGGTTACTCTTGTTTCGACATCCTTTGGTCGCTCCCTGGCTGACTTCTCCTTGTGAATGGGGATTCCCCTCCCTGTTTGAAGGATTCCCCTCGTCTTGGGCCCTCCAGCGGTCGGGACCTGCCCTGGCCAAAACCCAGCTGCTCAGCCCCTTCCTCTGGGCCCAAACAGCCCAGAAGCGGCCCCGGGTGGCAGGCTGGGCAGGGCTCCGCTTCCTGGGACAACCCAGCTAAAGAACGGAGCTGGAGGTCTACCCAGCTGCTGTTTGGGAGTTGGCTTCTATCCGTTGATGGACGCGAGTCAACCCCAGTGAAGGAAAACCCCAAAGGTACGGCGTTTCCAAGAGGCAACTGGGCTTTCTGGTTTTCCTCTGAAGACCTTTCGCTTCTCATCCCAGAAGCTTCTTCAGCTCTGACTGGAGGGTGGGGAACGGAAAGGTTGCAGGGAGCTGGTCTCGTTTGCATCTTTTTCAGAGGGTCGTTGAGGCCACTTGGGGGTTTGTCTGGATCCTCGGGGTCTCCGGAGTGGTGCCAACGGGTGTGGAGCCTCCTTGGAACGGCGGAAAGGAGCTGTGTTGTAGACTGGAGACAGGTGGTGTGGTATCCCTCCCCCTCTGTGGAGGGAGGGCCGTTCCAGCTTGACACGGATGGACTCCTGGGCCCCGCTTTCAAACCAAGTGCTCCTCCCTGTCTGTTACACTCCTGCGGGGTATTTTTTTGAGGTTCGATGAAGGCCCACTTGGGGATGACGAGAAACAAGAAACGACGCAACGTCGTCCTTCTGCAGGTCGCAGGCGTGTCCGGAAAAGCTCAGCAGAATCTCCAGCCAACACAACACTCGTGCCCACTTCAAACACACAAAGGCAGAAACAGCTGGTCCACCCCAAGGACAAACCCCTCCTCCCCAGACAGACACTGAGCCACACGGTAGGAGGCAGGACCGTGCAGTGAGCCACGTTCACATCTGAACGCGGGGGAAACGAAACAGCCACTTCCCCAAATGCCTGGCGCAACAGAGGAGAACCAACCCATCCGGACCAGATTCGTCTGCATTTAAAGGGCAAAGGACGCAATCTGGACCGGGGCCCAAGAGGCCATCCGTGGCATCTCTTTTGTAGACCATTGCTAACCAAGAGCCATTAAAAGCAACTGGTGATTTTTAATTTTTCATCAGGCAACATTTTGTTAGTTCGGTATCTGTTTCACATTACGCTGCAAAACGTGCACTTTTCTTTAATAGCTTCTAAACGTACAGTAGCTCGTCTCTCGCCTGCCCTATATACCATTCGTTGCTTCATCTTATGCTCCACAATCTCTTGAAAAAGAAATGCATTTTGAACTGTATACGTGACGCTTAATGTCTACTGCAAACTTTACTTCCCCACCGCTCTCCTCCCCCCCCCACCCCCCACGCGTGATTATAAAACGCTGGATTTAAAATGCTGTTAAATATTGCGACGATAGTATCACGAATGGCCTTTTCTCATCCCATTCTTTTGTGCTACCATTTATGGTTTCTTACCTTTCCTATTTGCTTTCTTTGCACAAGGCCTTTAGTTGCAATTCATAAGCCTGAGGCAAATAATGTTTTTTGGGGGGCGGGGGAAGTGTCAAAATTGAACAGACGGGGAGGGATGCGACACCACCTATCTCCAGTCTAAAACTCCAACCGTTCCAAGAAGCCTCCACCTCCCATTTGCACCACTCCGGGGACCCTCAGAAGACACAGCTAAACCTCCAAGCGGCCTCAACGACCCTCTGAAGCGACGCAAATGACCAGCTGCCTGCAAGGCGTATCGATCCTTCCCTTCCCCACCCTCCAGTCAGAGCTGAAGAAGCTGCTAGGAGGAGAAGCGAAACGTCTCCAAAGGGGAAAAAAACCCGAAAGTCCACTTCAGCCCTTTTGGGGAGAACCGGGAGACCCGGAGGGCGACGGAGAATCTCCGTGGACCGACAGACAAAGGGAAATAGCTGCAGCTCAGGGTTGACGGGAGGCCTCCTTGGGGCTTGGTGAGCTGGGCTGCTTCCTGGCAGGCCTCTCCGTGGCCCAAGGGAGCCACAGGGGAGGGGCTGCCGCCGCCCTCAGGCGTTTGCTCTGCCAAGGGAGGGAGGGCCTGGCCCTGCCCGCCAGGTCCCTGGGGTTGCTCCCTCAGGGCCTCGGGGGAGGCCCCGCGTGCTGCGAGCCGGTCCGTCGGTTCCCGGATTGGGGAGGGGGGGGCAAGTTGTTTACTTCACAATTGTGTTTCATCTGGGCTCGCCTGGGCTGGCGGGCAGGGAGGAACCGAGGGCTTTGGCCTCCTTCTTAGGCCTGGACGGGAGGTAGATGTCGGTGTTGCGGGACGAGTGTTTATCCCGTGTGAGGGACGTGTGTTTATCCCGTGCGAGGGACGTGTGTTTATCCGACGCGGGTTTCCACTCCGTGACCGGGGGAACGCGGCCTTTGCAAGAGGGACCCTCCGGGCCAAGAGGGGCCTTTCCCATGGGCCCCCCATAAGGGGTGGTGGTGTGGGGGGCTCAGCTGGCACAGGAAGGGGGGGGCTGGAAGAAGCAGCCTCCCCAGGAGGAAGAGCCAGAAGCCCCTGCCACACTGGGGAGGTGGGGAGAGGATGATGGTTACTCAGCAGGAACCCAATGGGGCTGCCCTGAGCATCCGGCTCAACAGGCAGCCGAGTTTCCCCCGAGGGGGGCCCAGCTGGGGGGGGAAGCCCCCCCCCCGCTTGGGTGAGCCGGGGAGGCCGCCCGGTCGAGGGGGAGCCCCGGGGGGGGGGGCAGGAAGGGCACCGAGGCCGCTGGGCCTGGCCTGACCACCTCCAGCCTGCCTTGGCCCGGAACTCCTCCAGGGGCCTCGGCTGACCGCCGGGCTCCCGCTACGCTCCGCCCCGCGGCCTCAGCCGCCTCCTCCGCGGGGGAGAGGAGCTCTCTCGGCCCGGGGGTGGGAAGCCGGCAGCGGACGGCGCCTGCCCGGGGACGCGCCGAGGCGAGAGCGAGGCCCGCTCAGGCCCCCCCGTCCCCGGCAAAAGCCGGGCGGAGTTGGACGAGCGAGCCGCCTCCGCTTCCCACCCCCCGGAGGTCGGTTGGGCCCGGCCCGGGGAGGCGGGTGGGAAAGAGGCCGCGGCGGCGTTTGCCCGGCCGGGGAGAAGCCGGGAAGACCCGCCGACGCTCTTTTTCTCTCCGTCTCTCTTGCAGGTCCTCCCGCCATGGCCGCCGGGCCTCCCCTGCCGAAGAAGCGCTGCCTGCGCCGCCCAGCCCGGCGGCTGGCGGGGTTGCTGGGCGTGCTGGCCGGCCTCTCGGCGCTGCCTTTCCTGGCGGGCGGCGGCTACGAGGAGCTGCTCTCGCGGGCGCTGCTGCCGCTGCTGCTGCCGGCGGGGTCCCCGGAGCCTTCCGCCGCCGCCGCCTTCCCGCCGCCACTCCCGGCCAGCTTCTCGCTATCCCCGCCGGCCTGCGGCCCATCCTCCGCCGCCGTCCCCGGCCTGCTGGTGCTGGTCCCCAGCGCTCCGGAGCACGGGGCTCGTCGGTCGGCGGTGCGTCGGAGCTGGGGCTCGGCGCGGGAGGCGGGAGGCCTGACGGTGCGCACCGTCTTCGCCTTGGGGCTTCCCCGGGAAGCTTCGGTGCAAGAGGCGCTGGAGCGCGAGGCGGCCGAGCACGGGGACCTGCTGCAGGGCCGCTTCGCCGACACCTACGGGAACCTGACGCTGAAAACGCTGGCGATGCTCGGCTGGGCCGCCTCCCGTTGCCCGGGCGCCCGGTTCGTGCTCAAGGCCGACGACGACGTCTTCGTTAACCTGCCGGGCTTGGCGCGGCACCTGCGGGCGTTGCAGGAGGAAGAACCGGGCGGAACCCCCGCCGTCTACCTGGGCCGCCTCCACTGGCGGGTGGCGCCCGACCGCGACCCCGGGAGCCGCCACTACGTGCCGGCCCGGCTCTACCCTCCGCCCGCCTTCCCGCCCTATTGCAGCGGCACCGCCTACGTGCTCTCCGGCCGGGCCGCCTCCGCCGTCCTGGCCGCCTCCCGGCATTTGCCTCTCGTCCCCGTGGAGGACGTCTTCGTGGGCCTTTGCGCCCGCCGGGCCGGCTTGATCCCTCGGCATTCGGCCCGCCTGGCCGGTTCCGCCCGTTACCCGCCCGACGCCTGTTGTTACCGGGAGCTGCTCTTCAGCGTCCACGGCGTCTCGCCCGGACGGATGGTGGCTATGTGGGCCGAGCCCGAGCGGCCCTGCTCCGCCTGGCAGCGTTTCCTGGGACCCGCCCGCTGCAAGGCGCTGGCTTGGCTGGCCGGGGAGAGGGCCGGCTCGTGAGGAAGGAGGGAAGGAGCCGGGGGAACGGCCCGCCACGGGGTTACGGGGGAGGAGAAGCTGAGCCGCACAACGCGCAGGCCGGACCTGGACGGGGGGGGGGGGGGGGGGGGGGGGGGGGGGGGGG